CAAGCGCCAACACCCGCCCCGTAGCCTTGACAACCTGATTCATCTGCCACGGCGCCAGCATGCGCTCCCAGAGACCCCAGAACCCGGCCAGGCGCATCGGGATCGGGCCGTGCGGGTTCGCCCTGTTGTCCTGCCCCAGCGCCAGCTCGCGGGCGAGTTCGTAGGTTCCTTCGTCTTCGCGCCAGGGCGGGGCGAAGCGGTTGCAGACTAGAGTGCGAGCGTAGCGCTCCAGGGCGTCGAGCGCCGTATCACAGCCGTTGTCTGAAGATGAATGATACTGCTGTCCATCGTTCGAGGATGAAGAAGAAGAAGAAGAAGAAGAAAAGAGCTTCGGGACGGGCGTAGCCCACCGCGGCCACCGCCCGACATGTTCCCACGCAAACGCAAAGACGATGCGCGTAAATGGGTCTGCGCGCGGAGGGTTCACGGGGACCTCGTACGTGCCGGATCCATCGCCGTTGTCGTCGCATCCCTTGCCGAGGCTCCGGCACCGGGAAAAGTCCTCCGAAAACACCTCGGGCCCGAATTCCCGGAGGTCAAACGGCGGGATGCCGTGCGCGTGGAGGATCGTCAGCAGACCGGTGCCGTGGTCCACTTGGCCGAGGACGGCGAGACACACGGCTGTTTCCCGGACGTGTTGGACGACTTTGCTCAGGGATGGTTCTTGTGCGATGGAGGTTGGGTCTGTTAGGTGGCGGAGGAAGAAGGCCATTGTTTTGTTGGTGCGGCCCGGGCCTCTCCCCCTCCCTGCCGCTTGGAATGATGGTTTTGTACGAGGGTACGTGGTTTATTGCTCTTGGCGGTGGTTTAGGAGCTTGTTAATACATGACATCAGAGGAACTGATAGGTATGATGACGGGTTAATTTAGAAACAAGGTCGAGGCGGAGAAGTTGGCTTCGGGAGTGGTAAATTGGTGGCGGGGTTAGTGCTGATGGGGGATGCATGTCAGACGTGAGAGCCCTGTCATTCTCAACCTTTCTGTAGATGCATGGCTTGAGCCGGCGATGGTGATGATCATGGTGGCTGATGCTTCACCCTGAAGACAGAATCTTGAAATGTATTTTAGAATCCAGAGACGCATAAAATCGTAGTAGAGGTTAAGAGGCATAGATGCTACTCTCGTCAATTGCTCTACGTTAGAAGGATCTGGGGTGGATGTCGCTCTGTGCACATACGTAGACAAAAGTAAGTTGAGTACCCTCCTCCCACCTGAGCCGAGACGGCGTTGTTGTTGCTGCCACTACATTAGATCCCATCTTGGTTCTAAGTAAAGAACTCAAGACGGAGAGCTCTCGATCAAATACAGCAAGGTGCTGAACAATAGTGTAAAAAGAAAGTTACCTTATGTAGATGAAAGAACTCTCCAAGATGGTATTTTCCTTCCCGGCAGCTTCGAGCACGTCAAAGCGATTGAGGTCCAGGTGGCGAACGCTAGTAAATATGCTTAATCCACTCTAGGCAGACGAGCTTAAACACCAAAATCACCCGCGAGCTGACAGTCTCTTGAGAAGTTGGCGTAGCTGGGAAATGAGCAGACATTAAAAGGGATTAGTACGTCGTTTCAAGCCTCCAATGCCAAGCGTATTGTCATCTATCGTAAGGCTGATTTTGGGAGAGGATCAACATTGAGCGAGGCAAAGTCGCAACCAACATGCGCGGAGTCTTTCCGCAGTCCTGCCGGGAACCCTTTACCTCTGCGAGAGCTCCAGTGGCGGATGCTGTGGCTTTCAGCTCTCTAGTTGTCCTCGAGGCCCGGGGGTATTGTAAGCCGGCAGAGCTCTTGGTGCTGACGGCACGGGAGTCCAAAAATTTACGCGATTCTCGACATGCCGCGATTGGTAGCATCGTGGCAGTGGCGCGCGGTTCCGGCAAGGGATGGAATCCTACGTGAGCGGTTGGCCCCCAGCTCTGTAATTCGGCTGCCTAGCACTAGCTCTGGTGACTGCCAAGCTGCTTCTTAAGAAAGCTGTGCAGATCTGTTTTGCTTGAGAAAGCTATTTCATGGGTCTGGAGTTGTTTCCCTTTCTGTTTCTCATGAGCCTCATCGACATCACCTCATAGCGATACTCTTCTCCCCATCGGACTCTGATAATTAGACGATTGAATGCAGTCACCCGAGCAAAAGGCGTTGCTCGATATCAACCACATCCGACGGTCCGGTGGAAGTTGCCGAGACGAAGAACACGAGATGGACCATGCCTACGGGCAGCAGACGGGAGGTTATAACGTCGGCCCAACAGGATCTGATGCGAGTACGGCACAGAATACGAAAACGCATTACAGCCAGTCACAAGTCATTGACGACTCGTACGTTGAAAATGGTCTTCATCCGGTGCCGGAGCCAGACAAGATCGTAGGCGCGCCGTATTATCACCAGTACAACCAAGTACCCGGCAACGGCATGTCTAGCCATCCTCAAGAACAAGCGGTATCAAAGAGGAGGATCTGTGGCATGAGCTTGGCGATGTTCATGCTCTGGTGTGTACTGGGATTCCTTCTTGCGCTGCTGGCAATCGTCGCGGGGGTATTTGGGAGCATGCTCGCAAGACAGAGCTCAGAAATCTTAGATCTCAAGGACGTGGCAGCAACAAAGTAAGTATTCCCCTCAAAACACCTCGATCAACACTGGCTGGGGCTTTGATACTAAACACCCGTCACAGAACAACCGACCCGGACACCAACGGCACCTCAACAACAGCGGCACCCGCAACGACGACGACATGGGTGCAGGTAGTGGACTGGGAATACATTGGCTGCTATGAGGACACCTCGAACCGCGTGTTCCCGGACAAGTTCACGCAGATTGACGACCAGACGAACCGGCTCTGCGCGGGGGTGTGTTCTGGTTACGAGTACTTTGGCACCGAGTTTGGGGACCAGTGTTACTGTTCGCGGACGCCGCCGACGACAGCTGCGCCGGCGTGGAATTGCGATATGCACTGCACTGGCGCGCAGACGTCGGAGATTTGTGGGGGGTTCTTCTTTTTGAGTGCTTGGAAGAAGAAGGTCTGAGGTTCAGGGTTGGGTATGAGGTCTTTGGAGGGTGTCATTGGGTGTGACGACGTGAATAGTGGTCCGCTTCAGTTTTCCTGGAATGATTATGCGAATTGGAGTTTCTTGGGATTGGCTGATTGAGATACCCGGTGTTAACAGAATTGAAAGAGTCTTTGGTTTGATTTATCAATCAAACCTTGTGTCGGCCTTCAGGAGGTTGCTCGAAGGTGAACTAGATGTAGGGCGGTCGATGCGTGGTTGTAATGTAGAAGACTCAGACCGTGATACTCTCTCTCACAGGCAGGCTATATATAGCCCGATCTGGCGTCACTCATCAACATCCAGCAATGGATTCAAACAACCATGGCCGGTTGGCCCAATGGCAAGGCGTCTGACTACGATCAAACATGTTATCAGGAGATTCTGGGTTCGACCCCCAGGCTGGTCATAATCTTTTGAAAATTCTGCATCCTGAATGCCGGGTTAGAAATTTTTGCGCGGGTTGCGGGTCCGGCGCCCCCGCCGAGTCAGGGCTTGCTAGTCCGGGCCGGAAGTGACCTTCAGCGCTCAGGCGCCGCCAAACAGTGTTAAATGGTAGACACAAGAACACGATTACTGCAACGAAAACTCGTCCTAAGCACAAGCTACGGGAGTGAATTTTTATATCTTGATGTTTTGAATGCATGAAAGCTGCCTTGTTGCGCGGCAAACCACACAATCTTCTGCCGGCCGCCGTGACTAACAATTTTTTGGCGCTCCGGCGTGGTGCCCCACTTCGCCGAAAAAAGTCTCAACTCCGACCAGATACGTACCTCTCGAAGTCTCCCATCGGATCTCGACGGGACATTTCCACTCCTCTTCTCATACACCCGCTCGGTGGGCATCGTCATGGCCTCCACCCCTGCACCGCCAGCGCCGGCATCAGTCCCAGAGCTTCTGACGCTGATAATAACCACGTCGCCAACCCCGTCCGCGCCTTCGACAGAACTCTTGGATGCGGTCTTCAAATCTATCCGCCTTCACTGCAGTGACTTGCTATCGTCCCGCATCATTGTAGTACTGGACACGTATGAGCGCATCGGAGACGTTCCAAGGTTGAAGAAGGGCCAGGTGACGGAAAAGGGCGCGGAGGAGTATACAGAGTACAAAGACAACGTCAAGAAGCTCGTGCTGAGGGAATACGACCAACATGAGAGGCCTGACGAGTTGAGTCAAGAGCAAGGGGAAGCAGAATATGGCTACAACGGACGAGCGGCGACCGTGACGACAAATTCAGCCACATTCACCGTAAGCAAGACGAAAGACTTTCGCGTATCTTTCGTAGAGCCGTCAGAGAGACTTGGTTTCGGTCTAGCGGTGCGGACGGCCTTGAGAATAACGACAACACCGTACGTCTGGGTCCATCAGCACGACTGGACACTCGTATACGACATCCCCGTGGGCCCAATACTGGATGTCATGAGGACGCAGGACGCAGATGAGGAGAGCCCGGTGAAATATGTTTGTCTTGCTTCGGTTCGGATGCTGAAGTATGCCGAGACTGCTCATGCGCAAGAGTTCCCTCATCTTAGAACGTTGACGAACAAGCTGAAGAGGAATTTTACGCCAGAGTCATACCCGGGGGTGGAGGTGCCGTTGACGCCAATGTTCTTTTGGCATGATAAGCCCCACATCGCAGCCACGGAGCACTATTTGACGCGTGTCTTTCCGACGCGGCTGGCGATACCTAGAGGGGCGTTTATCGAGGATACGATTGGACATCGGGCGCGGACGCAGATGAAGGAGCAGGGCATGTGGTTGCGGTGGGCTTGTTGGCTGTTTTATCCTGATGAAGGAAGACAGTTGTGTCTCCGGCACTTGGATGGGAGGAAATGGAGAGGCGCAGAAGGAGAAGTCACGATGAAAGAAATTTGGAAGCAGGCCAACAAAGAGATGAGGACAACAGATGATTCATGAATCACAGCTTCAAAGTATACAACCTTAACCTCAGGTTTACCAACACATCTTACTCTGGGATAAGGTCGGTTGCAGTGTAGTATTGACCTTTACCTTCGTAATGCCATTCCTTCACCCAACTATCACCTCCGGAGGGGCACTCGACTCCTGAGCCAGCGCCGTTACAGGTAGCATAGACGCCGACCAACGATCCGGTGAAAGGGCCACTCTGGCCACTGACTAATCTTGCCGAGAATGTACCCATGACGACCTGCTGATCGGACTGAGAAGCCTGGGATGCGGCCATCGTGTAGTGAGTGCTGTTGACTGTGGCAATCTGGAAACGAATCGAATCGTCTCCCCACGCTTCAGGTATCTTGACAATATTCTCCGCAGGGGCATCATCTCCCGTTGCCCTGAAGCGTAGCATACGATCGCTTCCACCGGAGCCGTCGGCCTTGGGGAGGGTTACTACCCCGACATCAGCGTGGTTGTATTGGGTCAGGAACAAAGTAACGCCAGTTTCTTGGTCAACATCAGAAGCCGGTGCATCAATGACTGCTTCAAAGGTAAATAGAGAATCCGTCTGAGGTCGTCCGATGAAAGATAGCCCCGAACGGCCATCCAGATCCGCATTATCGCCCGTGAGGTTCGCGCGACTAGGCACGATACGGAGGCCCCTCGAGCTATCAATCGAAAAGGCGCCTTCAGCTGGAACCCTCCAGTGAATGAGATTCCGAGGAATACTGCTCAGTGTCGTAAAGTCGTACGCGTCGGGGTCCGAGTTGAACGGACCGTCTCCCGGAAGGTCTCTAGATGCTGGTGGCATTTGCCAACCCGACATCTTGCCTCTGACGGGTTCCAGTATCGGCCACTCACCTTCTCGCCAGGTGACTGGGTACAGGACTGTTTCGCGGCCCATGGGATAGATTCTCCATTCTGGGCCAGATCGAGTAGCTAGCGCGATACCCCACCAGTTTTTCTCAGAGTCTTGGAAAAGATCTGCATGGCCGATTGTCTATTATCCCAAAGTTAGAGATGGACAGCGGCTGCTGTATATGAAACATGGCTTGCTTACCTGAAAATATTCATCGGTATCCTTGTTGGTCAAGACCGGGTTGTACGGGCATGGCTCATACGGGCCCGTCAGACTGGAAGATCGAGCCATGACCTGGTAATGCCCAGTCTCAGTCCCACCCTCGGCGGCAGAGATGTAGTACCAGCCATCTTTGCGGTAAATGTGAGGACCTTCGGGCCACACGCCACCGGTGCCGGCCCATAGAAATGTGTTATTGACAACCGTCCCCGTCTCGAGATCGACGTCGAGGAGGACGTGCCCGCCTCCCGGGATATACATTTTTCCGTCGTCGTCCCAGAAAAGATCTAAATCTCCGTTGGGGGTCAGAAATGTGTAAGGGTCGCTCCAGCTAGCTGCGTCGAATGGATCGCTCGTTTTGAAGACTGTCCCCAACATTCCGTCGGGCAGGCCGAGGTACTCGCACACCACCCAGAACTCGCCATCATGATGCCGAATAGTTGCGGCGTAGAAGCCTTCTTGTTGTCCTTTGAGTTGACGTTAGTTAAGATTCAAGAAGCTCGATGGCTCATCTAATGAAGTCATCTGACATGCCTTTGGTTTGTTGAGTAACGTTGGGCATTTGACTTTGTCGATTCCAAACATGACTTATCAACTTCCAGTTGAGCAGGTCTTTGGAGGCATATATTGGTAGACCAGGGAAAGTGATGAAACTTGAGGTGACGCAGTAGAATGTGCTATCAACGTGGACACATGATGGATCGGAGTGCCAGCCGGGTAGGATTGGGTTGTAGAATGTTGAGTTATCAGCTGCTACTAGAGCTGCCCAAAAACTGAGAGAAAGTTCTAGGACCAAACGGCCCAAGTGAGGAATCATTTGGAAAGAGTTGAAAGGTTACAAGATACTCGAGACGATGAAGAGGCGTATGGATAGCCCAGACAAAGTGGGCGTGGTCTAGAGTCAAACTATATACCCCATGAGAATTACTGTAGGTTTGAAAAAGACAAGGTCATGTCACATGTTGCCCAGCATTTCAGCAAGTGGCTTCACCATTCTGCCTTGCCGAACTTCACTCCCACTATTGAGATACATAACGCAGTAACACAAACTTCGGCTAAATAATCTGCCTGTCAGATAGCATCATGATGCAAGGAACGATCGATTTACTTCTGTGTGGGGAAGTTCTTCCCCGCAATCAGTCTCTACATCGAGTCCTAAAAGCATGCAGCCCCTGATACCACTGAAAGTCGTCGCAGGAACGCGCAGAGCAAGACAGGGCAGGTCTGGTGACAATGATCAAGGATCGTGGAGCAAGGCTTTCATGATTGAATGATCGACCAATTGCAATAGATCGTTTAAGTAGATAGGAGCCGTTTAAGCTTACAAACAACTATGTTTTAGCCGATTCCCGAACCAATGATGGAACAGAAACGCAACGTGCTCGACAGGCGGCCCGCTCCGCTTGGCCCAGTGTGCCCATCTCATGCATCCGGCTAAATCAAAATGCATTTTAGCACTGTCGAATACCACGCTGGAACGATGGCTCGCTAGTATTGTTTCATTGCCGAAAGCTACACAGTTGCACATGCACCCCGCATAGTTCATCGACTTCATCCTCCCGATCTAATAATTGACTTGCGGTTGGATCTTCCTGAGGTTACAAAATCACATGTTCCTCCATGAATCATTGGAAAGCAGAGGACTGGGTCGCAAATCTGGAGACAGCATGGTATCGGATCATATTCGGCGAAAGTGGTGGCCATCCTGTTTACCTCGTCCTCACTCCGTATCTTGGCGTCTGATCCGGTAACCGACTCTGCCGCTTCGGACGATCTCTGCACGATGTTAGCAGTTGAGCGTCCAGAGAGGCTTATAGTTCTGGCCAAAATTCAAATCGAAATATGTTGAGGCTAGATCCAATGTCTAACCTTTAATTGGGAGCTGGAGAATGCCGATAGATAAATCACTGAACTTAATCTTCATGGAAGATAATAAGCATCGAGGTTCTCCACCCTCATGCTTTTCGTTCCTGGCCTGGATACACCCGAGAGAATTTCCTCGTCAACTTCAACCAGTCACTATGACACTCCGTGTGTCTACTGTCTTCTCCTTCGCCCTTCTTGGCCTCAGCCAAGTCGGCCAGGCACTGGTCCCCCGCCAGGAAGCCACCTTTTCCAACCCGGTAATATGGGCCGACCTCGCCGACGATGAAGTCTTCCGAGTCGGAGACACGTACTACTACAGTGCTTCGACAATGCACTATTCTCCCGGCGCACCACTTCTCAGATCCTACGACCTCGTGAACTGGGAGTTCGTCTCGCACTCGGTACCTGAGCTTCCTGGTTCAAAGTTCTCACTCAATGGCAGTGACAGTGCGGGCTATGTCAACGGCGTCTGGGCTTCTTCCCTGGGGTATCGCGAAAGCAGCGGTGTATTTTACTGGTATGGCTGCATCCAAGGCACGGATGAGACGCACATCTACACTGCGTCTAGCCCAGAGGGGCCGTGGACTCATCACGACCCCATTCCGAATTGTTACTACGACCTCGGCTTATTGATTGATACCAATGACACCATGTACATCGCCTACGGTGCGGTCGACATCCGCCTTGCGCAGCTATCTCCTGATGGTTTCACTGAGGTCCGCAATGAGGTATGTTGGCAAAACGTCGTGGCCTATTCTGCACTGCAGACACTGACTCTTACTAGCTTGTGTACACTGAAGATGTCCACAGGTACATTGAGGGCTCGAGATTCTACCACATCAATGGAAATTATTACATCTGGGTTACGAAGCCCGGCGATGAGCAGCATGTTCTGAAATCTACGTCGGGTCCCTAGGGTCCATATGAAATTCGGCAGGTGATTGCGCAGATGAAGGCCCCCGTCGAGGGTGCAGGAGCGCCGCATCAGGGTGGTCTCGTATCGACTGAGGACGGTAAGTGGTATTACATGGCCTTCATCGACGTGTACCCCGGTGGCCGTGCTCCCGTTCTCGCCCCTGTCGAGTTTGACGCCGAAGGTTGGCCTTCGGTGGTCACAGATGCAGACGGTGGTTGGGGTGTCGAGTACGCGATGCCTGTCACAACCTCGAAGACAGTCCAGGGAGTTGGATCCTATGTCGACAAGTTCGAGGGTGACGCGTTGAATCCCCGCTGGGAGTGGAATCACAACCCCGACAACGACGCCTGGAGCTTAGGGCCCGATGGAGTCACACTCCACACCGCAACGGTATGCGAGGGGCTGTACGGAGCCGCCAACACCCTCACCCAGCGCATCATCGGACCCAGAAGCCAGGCCACGTTTCGCCTTGATATTTCTGAAATGGTGGACGGAGACCAAGCAGGTGTAGCAGCACTGCGCCAACTGAGCGCTTATATCGGGATCCACAAGGCTGATGGCGTCTCTAAGCTTGTGTACGTTGATGAGATCAGCATGGTCGTGCGAGACTCATTGACGGACTGGGTGACAACCTCGAACGGTTATGTCAAGGCGGAAGGACCTACTATCTCCGGCGGCGATCTGTGGCTCCGTATCAAGGCCGACATTTCACCGCCCGTCGCCGGATCGAGCGCGTGGCCGAATGCTACGTTCTGGTTTAGCACCGACGGTGATAACTTTGAACAACTTGGGCCAGTGTATGAGCTGAACAATGAGTGGTTCTTCTTCATGGGTTATCGATTCAGCGTCTTCAACTGGGCAAAGACTCGTCTGGGTGGTAGTATCTTGGTTCGGGAGTTTGAGTTGGAGGTTTTGGAGTAAAAGGAAATCCCGAAGCATCTTTCAAGTCGGAGAGAGATGTTCGAGGATAGTATGGCGGCTTTTGGGGCATAATAGACCACAGGCTGCGAAGGCAGACGGAGTGGACGCGTTCAATTCTACACCACGATCATTTGTGGTCAGTTTTAGTACGACTCATCGGTAAACTTTCAAATGATCCAGTACTTACTGAGCACCACTGCAAGATCGCATCGTGCAAAGAGCATAGTTCTAAACGGGAATGTGGTATTCTGCGCCTCTGAAGTGCATTAACCTACTACTTGGCATCTCACGAGTCACGCATGTTATAGGGCTTGGCGACTTCGCGGAATTCCGACTTGATGCAATCTTAGACTGGGCCCTTGGTAGGGTCTGGACCACAGTCTGACAGCTCCAGTTACTAGTGGTCTAATTGAAGCCTTCTGGATAGCGTTGCTTGGCATAATTCAGCTCCCGCCCTCACACCCAAGTCACAATTGATCGTGCAGCGACCAGTAGCCCACCACGACAGGTTGACAACCCTGATATAAGCACCCGACGTGAGAGACTCTTTTCAAAGTAACTAGGCAATTCTCATATTCTGTCAGCCTTTAAAAGCAACACTAGCAATACTAACGACGGATCTGCTTTAACGACCTGCTGTATCGGGTATGGCTGTGCCTCTCAAAGAGGCACAGCTGCGCAAAAGGCCACCACATGCGTGATCCTTCAAAGAACACTTCTTCCAATCAGCAGAATGCCTCAGAAACAACCACAAGCTCTTGAGACAAGATAGCGGTAAGATAGGTCCAGTCTCAGCAAAACTGGGCGAAACTGAGAATTTAATTGCATACGAGTATTGGCCAGAATGGGAAGCTCGCAAAGGTTCAAGGCGCCAAGGGCAAACGCAAACAGGCCGAAACGATTTCTAGACTTTGTATTACCCAATTGAGATACAAGAAAGTCGTAGATTCTGAGTTTCCATTGAAACATAAATAGTCTCCTTTCTGTTGTCATCGGTGCAGGAAATTGCAACTTCTCAACAACTCCTGACCTCAAAAACATCCAACTACTTCTCTACATCAATTAGCCAACTCACCAAAACAAATCAAAATGAAGTTCTCAATCCTCACCTTCACCACCCTCTTCGCCGCCCTTGCAGCTGCAGCTCCCGCCCCCGAGGCCGAGCTCGTCGCTAGACAGTGCTCATGCCACAAGATCGGCGATGAGTGGTTCTGCAGCGGCAGACTTTGCCCCAAGGACTTCATCCCTACGCCTGCGATGACCAAAAGAGACGTTGATATCCAGGCTCGCGGCTGCAGCTGCAAGCCTATTGGTAACGGTGAGTACTTCTGCATTGGAAGCTCTTGCCCTTGAGCAATCGGCCATGCGAGCTTCCAATTGACTTCGAGCTTTCATCAAATGGTAAGCGCTTCACTCCCGACAAATAGAAGTCCTATGCCTTACTCAATAAACCTAGGTCTTTGGTCATTGTTACCATCACTTTCGTCCCTAGTGCCCTGGGGTGAGATTTACCCCAGGCGCCGCGCACGCAATTGCTGGATGTTGAAACTATTTTCCGTTGGGATGGATAATAAGAACAAGCAAATCAATGCAAAAACATTCTCAAGAAAACTTTGCGTCTGCCTGCAGCCGATTGCTTCTTTCCCCTCTAATCACCTTAAAGTGCCTTGAGAAGCTTTTCTTTTCTAGTTTGATTAATATCTGACGTTCGAGTGCTGTGTGTGAAAATGGCAATCTGTCCATGTGTCTGCAACGCATCGAGTACTTTCAGACAATCTCAATCGCCTAATTAGTTAGTAGAAGTATTCTCGGTCTTTACTTGCCAGATGACGCGATGCCGAGCACATTTTGATGGCGATTCTGGAAATCATGTGCAGTGAATGACGGCTTGGCAGAAGATGTACGTACCCTTCCGAAGCGCTGAACTCGAAATCGGGTTACCTCGGTATTGTAGCTGGCAGTGGGGAATAATTGTATTTCCTGAGATACTTCAAAGCTGTGACGGGGCTGACTTAGAGTCTCCAAGTTCTTACTATCACATAGGTTGGCAACCAATGCGCTGCAACTTGCAACTTGTGTGCTGCGAGAGACGGAGCCGCTCACGTCAATGGGGGCATATTGCTTCCGTGCCTCGCCGAAGGCTCGAATACGCTATCATGGGGAATTGGCGTTGATAAGACTACAAGTCAGCTAATGTTCGGCTCGGCTCGACTCGTCGTCGGTACAAGCTTTTTCAGCCACCGAGACAAAAATGATGCGGCGACCGGACAAAAGACGGACTTTCACGGCGGACATTTCAGCCGCCGTCCACCGACCCAAAACCTCACACCCTCGAAATCACATGGTAACGGAAACATAGGTCGGAAGACTTATGGCATCTGGGGGTGGGTTACATAGCCACATAAATCCCACGCGTTGCTGTTAGATATGACGCTTGTTTGCTTGATTCCAGAATGCGTGTTACTTGGTGGTGTTGCACTGCGTCTAAAGTCTATGACGAAGATCCCGGGAGCTAAGACGTGCCAACCCGCACGGTCTCGAGCCGTGCCTATTACCGTAGTAGCGTACTAAGTTTGCGCACTTTGTTTGCCAATCAATAACGATGGGTCCTGTTCTCTTATCTGTTTCAGATGTTGAAATCTCCCAAGCGGGCCAACTTTTTTTAAATGCCCGGGGCGGCTCCGTTCCGATCGGTGACAACTAAGGGGCCGGCATGGACACCGACTTTGATGTTTGCCATGCCGGCGTGGCATCATTGTGTTCAACAGAGAAGCTTTCGATAAATAGGTACGCGGCCCGCAAGTCTATCTAGCAATCTCTCGACCAAGCTTTTAGTAAACTCTCACGAAAAGGCTAACCATAACTCCGAATACCGAATACCCAACATGCCATCCAATGCAAAGCCATCAACTTCAGGCCGAACCCTGGCCATCTTCGGCGCGACCGGCCGCACCGGGAGCGAGACGCTGAAAGCCCTTCTTGCCAAGCCCAAAAATCCTTTTTCTCACATGAAGATCTTTGTCCGCTCCCGCGAAAAGCTCATCAAAGCCTTTCCACAATTCAAGACAGATAACAGCGTCGAAATTATCGAGGGTCAAGTCACCGACGAGGCCCGCGTCAAATCCTGTCTCGTCGGCGCCGACACAATCATCTGCGCCCTGGGCGAGAACGACAACAAGCCAACCGTTAGCGTACTCCAGGATTCAACAACAACAATCGTCTCGGCACTGAGACAGCTCAAACAGGAAGGGGGAGCAGACTGGAAGAAGCCATGGTTCATCCTCCTCTCCTCCGCAACTTGGAATGAGCGATTCTCCGCGAGGCAGCCATGGCTTGTGCGATGGATGATTCAGAACGCCTTTTACTGGCCCTATGCGGACCTGCGCAAGGCGCACGCAAATCTGCAGGCTGAACCGGAGCTGTTGTTACTGTTGTTGGTGCAGCCGCCTGCCATCATCGACGAAGAGGCGAGCGGTCACACGATCAGCACGGAGTCGGTTGGCCTCGCGTGCTCGTATCCGGATCTTGGTGCGGCGTTTGCGGAGCTGGCAACCGAGGAGGCGTACAAGGAGACCAGTGCCGTTGGTGTCACGTCTGGAATGGCCAAGGCGGGTTTCTCGAGATATGGGCCCGAGATTCTGCCGAGAGTCATCTTTGGACTGATGGCTAGTTTCATTCCGGGTGCTTGGAGGGTTGTCCCAAGCGTGTGAGAACTATCAGTTTATTTACAAGTAGCGTTATTAGATTACAATAGACATGAAACAGCCGCTCAGGACAATGCATGATTCTTTAATGCTTTTATTTTCGACCACTACACTCGCTGGATAGTAAGCATGCCCTTGAGCAGTGACTTCATCATACCAGGCTTAGGCCCAGTACGCCGTGAAGTGGTAAGTGAGACAGCATCATTGTTGCGAAGAGCGTCGTCTTGCTCTTCTTCTGATAGGGCCAAGGTCTCAAGTTCGCGTATTTTCCACACGCGAAGAAACCAAACTATGAGCAGTTAGTCAAACGAAGCAGCTTGCCAGATGGAAAGATTTGCAACAACTTACTAGAGATGAACGCCGCAACGTACATAAATCCCGTGAACAGCTGAACAGGGAGGTACGCGTTCAGTCCGGAGCCCTTGATTGTCAGAGCTATGGGCTCGGCGAACGTTGCTGGGATAACGAGGATGATCCAGAAGATAGACAGAGCTGATGGAAGCAGCTGCATTCCGACCACCTCAGCGCCTACCGGTGCGACTGTTGGCCAGAGCACGCCGGCGAATGCGCCAAAGAGGGCAAAGACAATGAGACCTGCAAAGTGTTTGGCGGCGAGGATCCAGAGCAAGAACGTGGCGAGGCCGGCGATGATGGTGCCTAGGCCAGCTACGTTAATGCGACCAAAGCGGTCACTCACCAGGCCGATGACCGGGCGGCCAATACCTTGTGATACTGAGAGAAACATTTAGCTTGACTTTGACTGGAATATGTCGGATGGGGAGGAGAGCTCACGGTTGAACATGGCCGACACAATAGACCCTTGGCTAGCACTGAACCCGACTGTTTGGGCATAGTCCGCCAGTGAGAACACGGAAATGACGTATCCAAAGAGTCCAAAGAAACCCCACGCGACAAACAACCAGAACTCGATCCTCTTAAAGATGTCCTTGTGAAACGCGACATGAACGCTGCCGAGAGCCTTGTTTCGGTCCTTCATCATCAGACAACACGCGCCATTGACAACGAACGACAAAATGGCGATGATTCGGAACGCCCAAGGCAGACCGATGTTGCGGATCATGGCATTGGAAGCAAGGGAGTAAATGAGACCTCCCAGGCCGGAGCCAGCCGTAGCGATGGAGTTTGCAAAGGAGCGGCGCGCGACGAACCATTGCGGGACCACACCGACGGTGGAGTTAAAGGTAAATCCCATGCCAACGCCGAAGCCGATGCCTTGGGAGAGTAGGAGGTGCCATATCTGGGTCGTGAACGATGCGCCAATGAGAGCGGCCCTGGAAATTGTGTTAGGAACACGGGTGGCGGAATTTCCGTCCGTCTCGGAAGACGTCGGGGGTTGGGAGGGGGTTAGCGGGCCGGCTTACGCTTGAATCACGACGCCGATGCCAAGAGTCGGTTGCGTGCCGATGCGAGGGATGCAAAAGGTGACAATCGGGGCGATGAGAAGGGCTGGTTGTGGCGAGTGAGTGAGATGACGCGCAGAAGTTTAGAGATTGGAGAGAGAGCTTACCGACGGAGAAGGACAGCCCGCCAACGAAAGCGAGTGAAATTGGGCTTGCGCCGGGAAACGCTCCGGAGTTGAGATAGTAGGCGAGGAACACGGCATAAGTCTAGATTTAGGTGTGAGAATCATGCTTCCCGAAGTGAAAGGAAGGGCGCGTAAGGATAACTCACTGAGTTCAAGCCCCAGGTATGGGCATTGATGAGAAAGACACAGCCTACGACAACCCTGGTATCATGTCAGTGACTCAAGCCTCATCATGTTGTGATGGCTTTATGGAGCGCAACTCACCATCCATAGCCGCCCTCTTTGAACTCTACCTGCTCACTCGGCCGTTGACTGACAGGGCTTGCCGCCGCAGAGCCATTCTTTTCATTCTCCGCTGCCCTGGAAGCACTGTCAGGCATCCGTACCACGGCATCGTGGCTGTCCTGTTGACTGGAAGAATCAGAGTGAGAAGGCATACCGGGCCCCAGCGACAAGACGAAAAGGTGCAAGTTTCGTGCTTGTCAAACTGAGAGATGGGAGTTTTGCGACAGGACAGAGGCAGGTTTCGGATAGGGAAGAGAGAAAATACGTCAGCTGCCTCGGCAAGTAGTGACGGGTTTGATCGAGTTTCGCGGGGTTATTTAGTTCGCTCCTCGGCGGGCCGAAGACCGTTTATTCTGTTTCGATTGACTCACGTCTTCGGAGGTAATGTGGTTGACAAAGCTAGAGCCCTGAATCATCAAGAGGATCTCATCCAAAAGCCGTATAGAGTAAGACCCCGCGGGGATATGGCTGTTTGGTAAGCAGAGGGCTTCGGGAGGCAAGCAAATACTCTCTCGAGTTCTCCGAACCGAAGCGCGTGTTGGGCGTGTTTGAGTTTTTGCTGGCTGTTGGTCCCCGCCGGGAATAGGATGGGGTTGTCGTTACTCGCTAAGCCATGAACGCATGAAGGGCGTGGCAGCGACAAGGACTCGAGGAGCACTGCAGCCAGAACACCTGGGGAAGCAAACAGGCGAGATTGACTCGTCAATTGACAGCTGCAAAGTCAGCGCTCTAGACCCGATGGAGGGTGGCGCCGGAGTCGGTGTCCGCGATGTGTAATGAAATCATCTCATTGGCCTTATCGCCCGGTTGAAGTTTGCCGGGGTGGATCCTATCCGTTCTCGGAAAGGTAAATTCGCAATGGGAGAAGACATGAGCAATCTTCGGGTTCAAGGCCGTGGGTTCGGTTGTAGTTTACTATATCAATTCACTTATATTTAGCCTCTCCCTGCCTCCGCGAGTCTTCATCGGCAATGCCGCTGCTGTGTCTTGAGATTCCTAGAGACAAACAACTGAGATGGCGCGTGTGGCTTCGGTAATCTGGCTGAATATGGGGTAGAGCGCCGACAAACAGTTGCACAGCGTTTTCTGCATGTTCCATTGATCTTGGCCGCTCTTTATGCGCCCACGTGGGGTCAAGAGACTTTCGTCTTTCCGTTGGTGCTTTCCCCCGAATCACCGGCCGCTCTCCGGGCTTTAGGCCTCCGCCGGGACCGACTCCCGGGCCGTGCCGTTCAATCCCGAGATGTCGGAAGATGATGCGGGTTCGGCGATAAGATAAGACCCCGATACAATCATGACAATATGGTACTACACTGCCTTGCATTGATCGGCTGGTGTACTTATAGTGAGTCGATGCTTTTACCATTAGTGATGTGTAGGTTTACAGTCAACTGAAAGAAGAAGCCTTGATCAAACGAATGGTCGTCTTCAACTTGGGAACTTCATTGCAAGATTCGCTTCGTTCGTCATCCTAACTAAAACGCTTCAAACAAGCCGACTCTTTGAAGTCGGGGCAGGTGCAGTAACAGTACCCTTCTCCGTCCTCAAAGCACATACTTGAACAAGGGCGACCTATCTCCCAAGTTGAACAACTCCTCCTCAGTGTACTTCGTCTTCGCCTCCTCCGCGATCGCAGCCTTGCGTGCGTTGGCCGACTTGTAACTCCACTCGAGCAAGAGAGCCACGATCAGTCCAGATCCACCAAAGGCCAAACTCAAGCCAAAGCCGGTAGGGTACTTGGGCTTCTCGCTCTCAAGGTACATGAAACTACCCACAATGCCACCGACGTTACCCACGCAGTTCATCAGCGCGATACCAATCGCTCTTCGAGAGGCCGGGGCGATGTTGTTGGCGTTCCACGACGCGGCCGCGGCTTGAATGGGGTAGATGCCGACGACTGCAAGGACGACGGAGAAGTAGGCGACTCCCTTCTTCGCCTCGAGCGCTCCGTTTAGGGAGAGAATGATGGCGTACGCAATAGCGACGATGGCGAGAGGGATCGCCAAGAAGGGCATACGCCAGAAGAACCGATCAGAAATCTTGGCGAAGGTAATGGCCGAAATGGCGGCAGCGACGTAAGGCGGCGCAGAGAGAAGCTGGGCCTGTGTATTCGCGAATCCCATAGCCTTGGTGATGGTGGGCAGGGTGAACTTGATACCGTACGACAGAGCCGACTGGCACACCAAAAAGTACGCCTGGACGTAGATCCTCCAGTTGGTCAAGTTCATCTTGAGATCTCTCCAGTTGACCTTGCCGCCGGCGCCGGCCTCCTCGCGAGCACCGCCGCCCGACTTGATGAAGATGGAGAGCTCCAGGTACCGGATCTCCTCGGGCTCGAGCCAGCGCTTTGAGAGGGTCGGGGTGTCGATCAGGAAGAAGAAGCAGCAGGCGCCCATGACGACGGTGGCGAGACCCTCGAGGATGAAGATCCAACGCCAGCCTTCGAGGCCGGCAACACCGTCCATTTCAGCGATGGCGGCGGCGAGGAGACCGGAGAAGGCTCCTGACAAGGCGCTGGCGCAGTAGAAGTACGAAATTCGGACCGCGAGATCTTTGGGCTAGGAACGTCGTTAGCTCATACGTCAAGGGGCTGTTGCAGTCTGGATACTCACCATGTACCAGTAAGAAGTCAGGTAAATTGCACCGGGGAAGAAACCAGCCCTGCAGATGTCAGCCAGAGTACTTGAACGACCCCAAACGTTGCGAAACATACTCAAAGACGCCGAGAAGAATGCGAGTTACCATCAATCCACCAAAGTTACGAACCAGTCCCGTGCAGGTCATGATGATACCCCAGCAGAGGGTAAGAGTGCCGAGGTAGAACGAAGGACGCTTGACTTTCTTGAGGATGATGTTGCTAGGAACTTCGAAGAGGACATAGGGGATGAAGACTGGTTAGGGCTGGTTAGCGAATTTCCTTCTCAGATCGAATGTTAAGATGCTGATTATGGCACTCACAGATAGATAGCACAGTGTTGTACTGCACACCAGTCATGCCTAGGTCCTCAACCATGCCTTCAATCTTGGCGTTACCGATATTGGCGCGATCGATGTGGCAGATCAAGTAAAGCAGAGCCAGCATGGGAATCAGACGAACGTCAACCTATTCTCGCCCATCAGTCGGTGTGGTCGTGATGGTTAAGCGTTTCCAATACCTACCTTATGGAAAGTCTTCTTCCTCTTCTCTTCGGGGTAGTTGTTGAAGAAATCGGCATCTTCAGTGGACAATCCATACACGCGGTAGGGACCAACTTCGATGGCTTCAGGCACCTTTTCGAGATGAGCCTCTCCAGAAGGTCTGTGTTCAAAAACGGCATCGTTCTTCTCGATGGAGCTCCTGTGGGTGGCCATTTTGACGGGAGGCTGTGGTGTCTGGACGGTTCGAAGGTGAGAAGGAAACAGGAGCAAGGACGACAATCGCTCTGCAACTTGAGATGATGGAAAGGTTGCCTTTCCCAGCTCTAGACCTCTTCGTCTCAAGAAAATTCACAGATGAAGATTTCTGCCCACGGATACTTATATCTGACCAGGACCACCTCTTAATACAAAGGGGACAGATAAAGCCCACTGCGGAGAAAGGCTGGGATCATCCGGCTCTTACCCCAGACCCAAAAAACCCACCCCAAACACACACTAACCCCAGACTTGGCAGCCGCAGAGTGCGGGGAAATGGTGCCATTGCCAGTCGGAAATGTCGGACTGCAAGACGGATTCTTGATCAGATGCCAATAGCTTATCCGTGTGGTGGTATCCGTCATGTCCGCAGGGGCCAACGTGCTGCTCTTGCCAGCATTCGCCAGAGTCACATTGCAGGAGGCTGGTTCGAGCGCAGGTCGACGGTATTGGAGAAAGCTGGCTGGGATAGGTGGCAAGACATGGGCGAGACATGGCTTTGCCGTTGGTGGGATTACAGCCGGGGGGTTGTATTCCCTGTGTGTTCATTGGAAGGATGGATTGCGCGACAGCCGCATGCGTGAGGTAGAAGAGAGCCGGTTGGCTTGATTGCTTTTCGTTGCATTTCCATCAAGACGGTGGGGAATCGCGTTGCTTACCGGTATGTGGGCTCCTTTGAGAGATGTGAGATTAAAGACGTGGAGACGGAAAAGCACCATTGCTTTCTTATTCGCCCATCATTTTGTTCTCTATCATAGCACCCAGTCCCCATCAGCTTTGTTGATGCTTGTCATATTTCCGTCTTGTTTCGAAGTGGATCCCCAGAGCATGTTCAAATCAGTCTCGACATCCTCTAGATCAGCATCGTATCTGATAAAGCTCGCGATACTGCAGTGCTGCATTGATGAGAATGGCAGTGCCATAGTGGCTTGCCAAGTGAAAACATTGTCGGGCAGATGCGAGGGCCATACCATTTGATCATATCGTGGCCGCGCGTCAATGCTCATTTGGCACTTCATTAGCCGCTCATATCTGCATTAGAGATCTCAACACTGTCTTGGCGGTTCTGGACCCAGGACTGCGGATTCCTGGAAGCTTAATGGCACTAACGCCGGAGTTAAGCTTCATCAATGTAGGCAACCTGAACCATCTACGTGTAAAAGACGGGCCTGGCTACCACTATCAGAAGGGTTGTGGACTGCTATCATTGTGGTAGCTTGCATTCTTGGCCTTTTCCGACGCCAAGATGGCTAGCTTGACAACGGATTTCATGTTCCCAATGGGGTCTTTGTCCGGTTCTGATTCGGCGGTGATGGTGTGGCGAACAAACCAGAATTTGGATATGGCTTCAGTTACATTACTCTTCGTAGACCAAATAGTAGAAGCCGATGCCGACAGAATGTTGTGATGAGGTAGATTAAAAATCCAGACACTAGAGGTCCAGCATGCGATTCTGAATAATTATTCAAGTAATTAAGGGGTAGAAAAGTATTAAGACGAACCTTCCCATTATTTCACAACGAGTCACTTCAGAGGTGACGACCAACGCCACCTTAGGTACTATTGCGGAATTGCTGCGAAACTTGAGTGGCTGAGAAGACAACCGGGAGGCTGTAATGGTCTCATTGTGTCGAATTAGACAAGATTAAAGATCTAGAAGTTGTCACGGCTATTATTGGTTCAGGGAATAGCTTCTCCACGGCCGCTTTCGTCCATGTGCATGTGGGTGTCTGCTACTTTCGACCGAGCAGCGTCTGGCAAGTTTCGAAGTGGCAGGTTAGACGTGACTACGGTAGCAATGTCCTCGGCTGTGATCCGGGCAGTTTGTGTATGCCACTGTCTGATCCTGATCCCTCGAGATGCTGAGTCATTCAGAACGTTTACACGTATTCAAGCTGCCCTTAAAAATGGCTGGAGTTGATAGGTCGAGGGGAGTTGCCCGGTTCGGAGTTACATGGCGTTCGAGTGCACCATCGGCGAATCTGGAAGTCATCCCCACCCACTTGCAGACAAAACATAGCGCGATGCGGGTCTCTTATCACGTCGATCATGTATGGACCCGGAACTTTCGTCTTGAACCTCACGATAAACACTATCCTCCGTCGGCCCTAGCATGCGTGAGAAGTACAGAAGTTCCCGCATGTCATCTCTATGCGAACTAATCTCTCGGACCGGGCCGTGGCTAGAAGGCGATATGCATATATGTCGATGCATCACCGCGATGCCCACGACTCACCTTCCCTCGTCACCGTTACTTCGAACATTTCATCCAATCAGATCCTTGGCAGCAATCAACGATATATGCATGAATCCTCATCAAGCAGCTATGGAACGTAATGGCCTCCACACGTTGACGTCCAACTTGCCTTAAAGGCACATTGCATTCCAGGATTGCCGTTACCCGCACGCCAAGCACTGTAGGAAAAGCCAAGTCAGATGGAAAAGCTTAGCATCAAGATGATTGCCGCGCAAGCTGTGAAAGATCGGCGTACGTAGCCTCTGAACCTACGTCGACACCATCACCCAAGCGACCTGCGGAATCGACACCACCTCTAATGAAGATACCCAAACTCAACCCCATCAACCCTCACAACACTTGCAACCCGCCCATACAAAAACTCGAGCGTGATATCAAGCTTATCCGTCACCGGCGTATACTCCACCTCAAACACCTTCCAAATCCCCCACCCGCCCGCATCACCAGCGTCCAGCGTCCTCTTCGGTTCGCCATTAAACTGGATCCCGATAAACCCCGCCGCCTGATTATCAAAGTACGACCAGAACCTCAACTTGCACGGCACACCCGGCTGCACGGAAAACACAGGCGTCGAAAGCCGCGCGCTGACGACCGGGTCCTGCGAGTTCCGATCATACAGCAATCGGGACTCGAACGAATGCGTTCCCGTGTGGGATGCTGCCGAGGTGACGCCGACGCGGGCGTTTTGGTCTAGGTTCTGAACGATCCAGGGGCCGATGCCGCATTCGAAGTCGCCGTTGGTCAGGAGGTTTGGGCCGGAGGGACTGCCGCACGGGGGCGTCGGGGAGGGAGTGCAGGTGGGGCCGCAGGCGCAGGCGGAGATGTAGCGGGATGCGGAGGTGCCGCAGGCGGAGGTTGCGCGGGCGGGTAAGTTTGTTGCGGTCGTGCCGCCTGCTGTGAGGGTTGCGCAGAAGGCGGAGGCGGAGGAGACTGCGGACGGGGAGGGGCATGGGAAGAGGGCGCGGTAGCAGCTTCATGGCGTTAGTCATCGTGACGGATGAGAGGAGGTTTGGAGGAGTACTTGTCTGCGTTGCATCTTGCGTGGGTAGTGGTCGCTGTGGTCCCGATGGCGAGCATGCCGACGAAGATCGAGACTGTAGTTGAGACAAACATCATGATTGCCGAGATGAGAAGGTTGAACGAGCTGAATCAGATTGGATGAAAGACTTGTAGAGACTTTGTCCTAATCCTTAACCCTCCATCTCATAGCACGACTTTATAATTTTCTGGGATACTATGAAGACTTCCCACGCTCTACTGATACAAGTCATCATCTGTGTAAGTGGCTTGCCATGAAGTAAGATTTTCTAAAAATCTCTCCGAACACGAGTTCAGCTCAACACAAGATCACACCAAATGGCACACCATGCCGGACGGCTGCATCTCAGCCGTTGCTAGTCGACGAATGGGAGTTGTGCATGTTTCTGCCAACTCCCAGATAGCTATGGGATCATTGGCTCGGGTGAGTCGAGTCTCGAAGACTGAGACAACTTGACATATAAGCCGTTCAAAACCTGGAGTCGAAGGCGTGGAGCGCAGGGATAACTTCGTATGAGGGAATTTGTTGTCAGTTGCCAAAGGACCTCGCTTCCGCGTAGGTTGAGAATATGTCTCAAGTCAGGGGAAACAGAAGGAATATGTCTTGAAACTCGTGTGAATAATTACAAGATGCTCGCGCCGAGAAGAAGGACGTCCATAGAAGGTTCTCGCAGAAGTCGTCCCGAAGGCAATTAACGATAAAGCCTTCTGTTAGCGACAGGATGCCGGAGTTGGAGACGAACATCAGTACTTTTGCTGAAAGTGTCGGGCAGGATACATTTGGAGGTGTCTCGGAAACGACGACTTTGAGGTGTAACGACAGACTTACTCCACCAAGTCGGCCATAAGCGATGTTGCCTCATGGCTTCAATTCAGACTCTGTGGAGGCACAGAGCATATACTCCGACGTCAAATGTGCAAACGCTATCGACCTAGCCTTAAGGTGTTGAAAGATCGATATATGCGTTCCTCCTGCAAAGGAGTAAACTCCGAAAGACTGCTGACATTAGCCTCGAAACCTCAGCACTCCGAGTGAGCCATCCTTACCATGCATGCTTCGTGTAATCCATATAATTATGAATGGGATCCAACCCAGGCTTCTCAGGACAAGAATCCTGACTCGCCGGACACCCAACAGTAGCAACCTTGGTCGCCGGCGTATCATCAATCAAATCACCTTCTCCTTCACAATCAAACCCCTCAAACACATGGAAAAGCCCGAACCAGTGCCCTACCTCATGCGTCGCCGTCTTGCCCAAGTTATCCTCCGGGTCCCACGGCACCCCCGGCCCGCCGGGCATCGTGCCTACACTGACGTGGCAGCCGTCGAAGGTATACCACGATGTGCCATTAATGCCCGTGTTCCAGGGGTCCTCAACGGGGAAGCTGCAGATTCCCGTCGCGGAGTTGGGGTTGGTCATCATGCCTGTCTCGAAGTAGATGTTGAGGTCGTCGTAGGCGCCTCGGCGGAGTGTCTCTGCTTTCTCCTTGATGCGGGCTTGTGTTGTCCAGGCGTCGTTCACGGTGTGGGTAATTTCTTTGACGAGGAATTGGATATTGTGAGGGGCGAAGGTGTCGTTGAGAACTCTCATCTGTTTCACCCAAGATCAATCTCTGGACTTTGTAGCCTTGCACGGAGGTTGGATTCACGCCGCACCTGATCGCTGATCATCGTATCGGTGACAAACCCTCTATGAGCCTCGTCTTCGACAACATGCAGATACGTCGAAACGAGCAGGCCCTCCGCGCGCTTATGAAGGAATGAAGCTGATAGCCCTTCTGCACGCTGGGCTGCGCGGAAAGACACGGCAGCTTCATAGGCTTCGGGCCCTGGCTGCTCTGAACCGCACTTCTCCTGGGCCAGTACTAGTGATGCCGTCGCCAAGCCGGCACAGCTGGTCAGCAGGGACTTCAATCTCATGGCGGCAGCGATAGTCGTGCGGTTCAGCAGAACGCTCGTTCTCCGAAATGTAGCAGGCACTGAAGACAGCGGGCTGCGGGTTTAAATGTCCATCTTCTGCGAGACTTGAAGAGGAAGGTGTCTATCGCAATGGAGTTGGTGATGGTCACCAAGCCAAGCATCGGCAGGCTTAGGCCTTCCTAGAAAGGCCATCGGCCCCTGCCCGGAATACGGGTTGATGCGACGCTGCGGGGGCTGCCGCCAAGTCCATGGTCGATGTTCCGAGTTATACGGATAACG